ACAGAGGATTCCTACTCAAGCACCTCCCTTACTGCTCTGCTCCACAGTGTGCCAAGTGCTACGAACCACTCCTGATTACTTGCAAGAAAAGGCACAGAAGCACCCAGCCTCACAGCTCTCCACCTGTGGCATAAACGCTAAATGGGGAACCGGATCAGTTTCACAAGCAAACAGGAGTTACTAAGAAAAAAATCTATACCCTGGGAGTCACATATATTCCTCAGGCAGAACTGCCATAAGCCAGCCCTGACATGGGTGCATTGTTTCATCCCAAACAGGCCCGGTGCTGGCAAAGCTCTGCTTACAGCCAACAATCACTAGGACAGGATTTGCCCCGCCCTGTGCATGACAGTTATCTACACTAAAAACAGCTTTCCAAACTTGACTGACTGGAACCCCTGCTTCGCAAAGAGCAAGGCTAGTTTAGACATGTTTCAGAAGATGATAAGGAGATGACTATGTTCTTAAATTACTTTTTAAGATGGTGACAAATTATATGTGAGAACAAATAGTGAAGTTTCTGGAAAGAACAAGGATAAAGGCTGAGAGGAATCTTTTTCTACACTAGAGAAAATAAACCAATGGAATTTTTTTACTCCTCCTTTTTTTTTTTTTTGGTAGAGAAGTCCCAAGCCCAGAACCAAGTACCCTAGACCTGCAAGAGACCCCTTCAATTAGCCTGAGTGGGGACAGTGCTCCCTCCCACCCCTCCCTCAAGTGTTGACCCCAGTTGTCAGAAGGAGAACGGCAATCCAGAGCAGTATTTTCCTAGGTACATTTTCAGAGCAACTTTCAGCCTTTGGAGACCACAACATAGCTTAAATGTATCTCCCTGTCTGCACAGTCCCTTGTCCCACTTTTTACAGTTCTCATTTCAAGTATCTCCTTTCCTAGTTTCAGTCCACTACATTTTTAAAGTAGTTATGCATCATTTTCTGTAATGAGCTACACATACACAGTGCTAATTCATCTCCAGAACTCCTAGCCAAAAACAAGGACTCCATCATTTCCTAGAAAATACTTAAAAAGAAAATTACAGAACAATATTAGTCCACCTCCAAAGCAGAACTTGTTCCACGTTAACCCCTGTTTACTATGATAAAAATCTGTGTGGTAGCTGATTAGAGGCATAATAACAAAGAAAAAGAAATAGCAAGGGGTGGGGGGATTCAAAGTTTCCTTACCCCTCAGAATGTATATTCACAGAGAGCAAACAGGATCACAAACCAGCTTGTATTCACCACCTACCTCCAGGTCTGCTAGGTCCACACAGAACAGCCCTTTCACTCTTCGCAGCATGACTGGCTGACTGTTATCCATGTTCACAGGAGTTTTAGCTGTTGCCCAACGCCATAAACAGTGCATTGTTATTACTATAATCTCTTCCAGAACTAAAGGATTTTACAAGCAATCATTATTCTTGTTTTAAATATAGTTTTTTCACAGAAAGAAAGGAGCCCAACAACAAGACAGCAATTGTAACAGTGAGAGCTTTCAAGCTTCACAATGTCTGGAGCAAGTCACTGAGTAAAAAATAGGCTTCACTCTGGACTAGAGGAGTCAGCAGATATTCTAAATTAAAGCCGGTGCTCTATTTCTGACAGGAGAGCCTGGGAGCTTCTGTTGCTTCCCTGCATGGCAGCTTTATTTGGGAGCGGGCAAGGGGGAGAGGAGAGGGAGGAGGGAGGGAGGAAGGCAGAGACAGAGACAGAGATAAAAAGAGTATTGTTTCTCTGATTGTTGAACTAAAGAACTCCTTGCAGTTAGGCTGTTTCTCCAAGGTGTTCTGTCACAGACTAGCACAGTCTTGAAATGTTCATTCTAGCAACTCTAGAGATGCAAAGGGAATCAGAACCATTTAAAAAAGGAACGATACATGACTTCAGGCCTTTCACCCGACTTCACCTGTCCCTGACATAGGCCACAGGAGAGCCTTTCACTGGTACTCGCCTCCTGTTTTGTACCTGCTGTTTCTGTCTAGCCCCCAGAGCTGGCCAGGGCAGGGCTCTGCTGCATCTGGAGGCCTCCGAGGATCATGCAGGAAGAAAGTTCTCACAGACTCTACAAGTATTTGACAACTTCTCCAATTAGTTTCAGAGCCTAAAAGTCTCACAGATGAGAAGGGTTTGTACGTAACATCAAAATCTTATTACAACATTTGTAGGGTTTTCCCTCTCCCTGTAGCACTCTTTAGAAGTGTTAGGAAGGAAACCTAGGGTGATTATTTCAGTTTTATAGAGGAACTAACAGCACCTCAGAGAGATGAAGTCATTCCCCAAGGTTATCTTGTATGCCAGCAGTAGAACCAGGTATTGGACCCAAGTGTCCCAATTTTCATTGTCCACCTACTGAGCCATCTCTTTAAACCACCACCACCTCGCTCCGCAGTCATGCCACAGGGCATGCACAGCTAAGGGCAACCATTATATATTTCTTAATAGTTAACCTATTAAAGCTCCTTCTGTCAGTGATTTCCATTTTCAAAGCATTCAGCTGAAATGTGCTCACATGCTGTATGAAATCTGAGCTATCGCAGGAATGATCCCATGATACGTGTAACATTTCTGGCAGACAACTCATCACAGACAAACATCTCCCCTGTACTGTCTGCACTCAGATACCCTGCTGTCATCCATGCCACAAAAAACCAACAGTGGCTGCATTGCTCTTTTCTAAGTAGAGAAACAACAGGACAAAGAATCAATGAAAGAACTACAAATTCAATTGCTCTTCACATCAATTGTTTTATTAGTCCACCTATTTCCATTTCTCACAAATTAGAGCCTGTTCCTGCATGGCCTACTCAAAATTCATTTTGAAGACCCAGTGTGTGTTGCAGTTCTCCTGTACAGCTAATCTAAATGCTACAGAAGCTGTCTGCAGCTGCATGAAATGGAAGCACAACTTACAAATATAACCATACATTTGGGATCACAGAGGAATTTAAATAAATGCTTTTTACACCTCTCATATTTCTGACTCTGGGAACAGAAGGAACATAAGTTTATTACACTGGTCATTGCTCGGAAGAGAGTAGTAAGAGCGCATGAATAAAAATAATAAACAGTTAGAAAGCATTCTCTTCCAGACTTAGACCAGATACGAATTTGTTCACCCTTTTTAGGGTGAACCACACAAATGGAAGGATGGACTGGACAGTGTTTGCTCCCTGAATTAGCAGGATGTGGTTTGAACTGTCCACCTCCCTTCCCCCTTCTCCACTCATCTCTACCTCTTCCCTGCCCCCAGTCCTGCAGGCATCACAAAGGATTTCAAAAAGAGCTACAAAGACATTCTTTTAAGCTCAGGCAATTCCAGTAACCCTAGAAACCAACAATAGCTGGGAGCCTGGCAGTTTGGCCACAAAACAGGCTGCTGTTCCGTTCTCTCCTTGTCATCCCTGCACCTCTAGCTGTACTACCTAAACCCTAGCTAGACTGGAAGGCAATCTCCATTTAAAGGCATCATATTCAATATAAATATTAGTAAATAAAAGGAAAATTCAATCTTGAACTCATCCCACTTCACCAGAATCTACTTAGTCACCATCAGCATCAATCTGGAATAATATCCATGGA